TCGCCTGGCTACTCCCCGCCCTTCCAGCCAAGACTAAGGGCACGTCCTCAGCGGGGGAGCCATACTGGACCGACCCCGCCTTCCCGCCCCACCGCCAAATGAAGGAACAGGTCAGATCCTCCCGTGCCCGCTGCCTGGACCTGAAGCGGTGTGTCATAAGGAGTCGTTGTCATCATCATGATGTGGTGGTAATAATGTCGGCTACCAGTGATTAGACGCCCAAGTGCCAGGTCTGTGCTGAGTGCTCTAGGTGCATCACGTCCTCACAGCCATGCTGTGAATAAAATACTGTTGTTTCCTCCAGTTTCGCAGATGAGGACACTGAGGCGCAGAGAGCTTAAGTAACAACCAGGGAGTGATGGAGTTCAGATTCCAACCTAGAGCTGCCTGATCTGACTCCTGAGCTTGAGCCCTTTGCCTTGCTAGCCAGGCCTCAAAGGTCGCATGTAACTTAGGGCTCTAAGCGTCCCCTTAAATTTGAATAAAGAGCTTGTATTTTCTCTTTTAGTGCAAGGTTCTCTTAATAGGGTGGAGACCATGTCTCCTTTACTGCCATCCGCCTGCTAGACCTTAGCATGTAAGCACTCAAAAAGGTGTCCCTTAACCATACTACCCAGACCCTGCCCAGAAGGAGGCTGCCCATGTTGCAGTGAAAGATAGATGGCTATGGAAGCTTCAGCTGGTGTCATGGTATCCCCCCCGTGCTAAGCCGTTAACCGTCAGAGGCCTCTGCCTGGCCTGCCTCACCAAGCAGGGCTGTCTGGCAACAGTGCCACCATTTGCTAACCAGTGGGAGAGTTTTTATTGTGGACGGCGCCCAGCCAGCTGAAGCTTTCATGCCCATGTGACCTTTACTTTGGGGTGCTTCACCAGGTCACAAGGAGGATCTTACTGTGCAGAATCTGGCCCTTCCAGGTACCGTCATTGGACATTCTTTGGAGGGCTTATGTGAATCATTAGGCTGCTAATGGACAGAGTAATGGAGACATCGGTCCATCCTGTTAAGAGAATTTTGTACCAGAAGAGAAAATACAAGCCCTTTATTCCAAATGTAAAGGAGAAATCTGAGGATTTATCCAGATCATTCAAACATCTGATTTTTTAAAAATTGGCCTCAATTATGAGAAACATCCTTCTAGGTAGGGCAGGGGCTCTGAGTAGTGAGTACTTGTTTTGGGATCCTTCCCCCAGTGCTCTTACTGAATTAGGAAGCCCGCACCCAGCTTCCTTCTGGGCCCAGTTGG